TATATTCTCTTCACTTATCTACCTAAATAGGTGCTTATAATATTATATTCTACAAGTTGCTTTACCTTAGTTTCGCAATTTGTCATATTAGTAGGAAGACCTAGACAACTCCTCTTGTCCGGAGTCCATAATATGCATGCTAATTTCCAGAGTTGGACCATAGACTTGGTACATTCTTAGACGTTTCGCCGGCATCGTAGTCGGCATCATCACTGAGTCTTGCCACTCTCGGCAACCAAGCTACAACTCGTCAAAGCGACAAGTTCTGCCTATTCATATATTAATAGACCCTGCTCGTCCATACTTTCAGTTAGATTGGACAGGCTTGTGGTACACTGCCACATCATTCCTACCATTTGTCTTTGACTAAACGCGAATTTCATGATTCAGCCTTCCCAAACTGGAATTAGCGCCTGCATGCGAGAAAACTATCCGTTGCTCCTTTGCTAACTTGGAATTTTGCCAACATTTACATGACCCTGTAGCAGTGTCTGACTTTTTCCCAGTTTTCTTAGGTCCTCTTTATCCAACGGCACTTGATATCCGATTGGCCAGTGCACAACTTACGGCAATCGGGAGTCTCGAAAGCCTCTCTCCCGAAAATAATCGGGAGTGATGGCCTAATCTTCGGTCCTTCGGTGACACTAAATGAAGCCTTTTCGTAACTTTGCTTGTCCAGTTTCCGAGTTCTACAAAGGTGCCAGACAAATTCGTCTAAATGATTGATTAAGTTTCAGAGGCAGTGAAATCTCCTGCCTCGCCACTGACCACTTGAGTCTGCGATGGCCTTCCTGTCGGTCTGTCGCCTAACACCAATGTAAACAGACGCCAATCGCCTGGGCGTCTGCCTTTGTGCTCGTCACTGCCTCCTATCGCGGACCGAGGCGAGACCAGTTTCAGCGTTTCTGCTGCCAGACCCCGGAGGTATCGAGGAGGGGCTCTGTACAGCGTCAGTCATGGTGCCAGGCCGGTACTAATCAAGACCGGGGGTCCATTCTTTCAATTGGCCTTGAAGCAATCCCGCGACATCACTTTCACTCACTCGCAGCTCCATTCATCTCCACCCTCCATCCACTCGCCACTTGTCCTCCCTTTCACCACCACCCCCTCGACACACACACATACACACATATGTATTGATAGATAGATAGAAGCGTAAACATGACCGCGGATAAAGATGTTCACAAAGGGTCTATCTTCCGGCTCCAAGTGGCCCGGTCTGCTGACCTGATGGCTGCTTTGTGAGATGAGAGTGAAGACGAGACTCACTAAATCCTGGCCCACACCACAGCCAACACTCAATGTGCTACCAACACGGTCGCCAGCCGACGTCGCCACACTTCCAAAACGTCACACCATCATCGGCGAGCCGGAGAGAGGGGGCTGTCCTCGGCATCCTGTCGCCGGTTTAAGGCTGGCCATGCACTTGCCTTTTCACAACGTGGCAGCTGGTCTTGGGGCCTCATTACTGTCACTTCTCGTTGGTTTGTGGTACTTTTTGCTCATCTGCCCTACCCACCCACCCCCCAACCCCCCGGCACGAGGCCGTCAGGCAAGACAGGCCTTAGGATGGCGGATGGGGTGGTGGGCATTTTCGCCCAGTCGCCGGACGCAAACAATGTGCACAGTCTGGCGCGGAAACTGGGCCTCGCGGGGACGTCGTGAGGCGGCCGGAGGCGAGCAAGACCGAAACACATGCGATAGCCTATCGGCACAGGTCAGGCCTACAGAACGAGGATCTTCTCGACCGGACGACGCAAGGGCGATTAAACTCCCTTGGCACACTTGGCCGTGGCGGCTGTTTAGGCTCTGCGAGCCGCGGGACTCGGACCGGGGGGCCACCGGATTCCGAGGGTAGCGGAGTTGTGCGGGGGGGCGGGGGGGCAAGGCGGAGGACAATACGTTTGGGAAGTTGGGGACAATGAAAAAGTGGATCTTCTCCACCGGTTCACTGTCTGTCGGGAACGTGGCCAGTCTGGCCGGGTGGGTGCAGGCGAGGGGGGAATCGCGATTACGGCCGAGGCCCGGGGCTGCAAGACGAGAGGGTGGAGCGTGTGAACGGTAGCTGGAGTCCATTCTTCTCAGGCCTGCTCCATTTTTTTCTTGTTGCCCCAGACTTTGCTCATATTTCATCCTGCTCGATGGCCCCCTCTCCTTGAGAAAACTTGGCTTTCGAATTTTGATACCATGAACATAAAATATAGGCGTAAATGGTTGACAGGCCCAAAACGGGGCCGCATCCACGGACAGTCCGGCATGAGAGTGCTCATAATTACCTTATTTGCCCAAATCGCCGGCGGAAAGCAGTCGGTCTGCAGCACTTTGGTGGATCCGGTTCCTCAAATGCCTCCAAAATGTGTGAGAAACTCTGTCCGTCAGATAAGTCTCATTCGCCTGGATTGTGTGACTCTTCTCCCCGTCTCCAGTGCCCGCCTCCTCCCACCTCACCCTCCTCCACAGTCTTGCCACCCAGTCTCCGCGGTCGTCTTCCCACTCGGCCGAGCCGTACGGTTTTGCGCTGCCCACGGCCTCTTGAGTCCAGTTTTGGGTAAACAAACAACAAACAAAGAAGTTCTTAATGATGCAGGCGAGCGGGAAGTAGACGGTCGGCCTAATAACTGTGCCACGGATAGCATTTAACGTCCTTTTTCTTTCCAGCCCGCTTGCTGCCCTCGCATGTGCACCCCTCACAGGCTGTCCAGCCTCGCCGTAACGAATACAACTGCCTTAACTTCTAATGCACCCTCGTGACTATCGTCATGATTAGCACAACATAATTTTCACCATTATTAATATTGGTCCCAATTCCTGTGGACAGGAAGAGCAGACCTGCGGCACTTCCAGTTAAACAGTCGAGACGATATTTTTTCAACTCTTCCGCCCGATTTACGCCAATCACTTTATCTACGCTTCCATAAAAATTAATCCACATGTCGTTAATGCGCCTGCGCGTTGTTATACTTGCGTTTATGCAGACTCCTCCATCTTATAATCCACGCGCATGCATGCATAAATGTAATGTTAATACTATTATGTGAATTATCAATTGACAA